AAGGAGCCCTAGGTGGAACTCAGTATCTTGTAGGGGTCTCAGCAACTTGGCAGGAGTTTGACCTGTAGACGGAAGGTTTTCCTTAGCACGCAGCTCAGCAGGGTCAGGCCAGCTAGTTGGCCTCCCCTTTTCTGTTTTCTTGTTTGTAGGGCATCTAGTAGGTGCTCCGGGGGAAGAAGCAAGGATGATGGTAGTCTGTTTCCATTATCATTGCGACTATGCTTATTTGTTGGGAACAATGGAGAGGTGAGTGTCTTAGTCAGTGTGAACCCTGCCATAGCAAACCCCATGGTCTGGGTGGCCAGACCAATGGTTTGGAGGTTGGAAGTCCAGGAGCAAGGCACCAGCAGGTGCAGTTTCTGGGCAGCTCCTCCTTGCTTGCTCACATGCAGAGAGGAGAGAGGGGGAGAGGAAGAGTGGGAGACAGAAGGCAGGGTCTCTGCTGTCTTATCCTAAGGGCAGCACCATGGGGAAGAGCCAAAACTGCTCCATCCCTAAGAACTGATACTAAAAGGAATTTTTAAATGAAAATACAGTACTATTTGAATAAAATGCACATGTGCCAGTGCAGATAAACAATTGTAAAACTTCTCCATTTCTTTGTGAGTTAGCTTTCCTAATTTGTTTTTATGACTGGAAATTTAACACTAAGCCAAGAGCTTTGATAAAATGGTGAAAAATGATCTGTACTTGTGCAGAGGAAGAAATTTAATTAAAATTGATATTTTAATTTCCTCCCTGTTTTCTAGTTGTTTAATTCAGATGCTGGTGCCAGAAAAATCCAACAAGTGAAAGACTGTTTTGTGGTTTCTTAACCAGCTAAGGAAGTCTTTTCATACTTTCCTAACTCGCAGACTGTTCCTGTCTGATTCATATAAGGAATACTATCTGCCCTTGAGTAACTGTTCTCGGCTCCCAGCAGAAGCACCAGCTGCATATCTGCTGTGTTTATATGTTGGGGAAGGAATGCGTGGATGTCTACTTCTGATTTGTTCCTAGGAAGGACTTGCACTCTGGTAGAGAAACAAGACCCAGAAATGTCACGTCCATAAAGACATGTCGTGTTCTGTCGTAGCATGACTGGCTCCTGTGTGTGATGTGGGCTGGATGGGGTCAGGGTGGACTTTGTGGGGAAGCAGGTCTGCCTTGGAAGGATGAGCAGACCCCTGCTTAGGAGGCTGAGGAACAGACTTGCTCCAAAACACAACCCTGGATCCACCTTTAACAAGACAGATCGGAAAACACCTGCTGTGTACCTGCTTTCCCAGTGTGGCCAGATGTGGGCATTTTAACAGCCAGTCACTAGTGCCATGTGCTCATAGTTGCTTGTTTTCTGGAATAAAAGATGGCAGAAATCTGAAGGTTGTTTTTGTTTGGAAAGAAGAGAGAGAGAGGGAGGAAGCCAGGGGAAGATGGGAGGGGGAAGCAGGGGAGGGAACGTGACCCTTCACTTTTTGCCTGAATGTGCCCTCAGGGATTTGAATGTGTTTTAAGATGGTGAGCAAGGAAGAACACAGTGTGGAGGCTCAAGTAGAGAGAAGTCACCGAGGACACACACATGAGCAGAGGATTCCGAAGCAGGACTCGGCACACTCTTTGTGTCCAGGGTCAGAGAGTGGAAATTAGGCTTTGCAGGGCACATATGGTATCTGCTGCAACCAGTCACCTCTCTGTAGTCGCATGAATGCAAGCAGTGCACACAGCCATGTCCCAATAAAACTTTATTTACAAAACTAGGCAGGAGGCTGTGCTTTGCCAGCCTCTTCTGGAAGAAAATATAAAAAATAAAGGTAGCATCTTGAATGCCACTCTGAAGAAGCTTTTGTTTTATGGCCTCAGAGACGGGAGGATTGCAAAGACTTACATTGCTATTTCCCTGGAGAACCTAGTTCAAGTGTATAACATGCCCCTCTTGCCATCACATTCCATCCAAGTCATCATTAAATGTTGCCTAGAAAACTAAGCAGTGTCCTCAGGCAGATGCTGAAAGAATAATGCAGTGAGAAGTGCCCTAGGAATCTGCATTTCTGTGCCTTAAGTCAGTAGAGGGGAGGGAAATAGCAGCTTCTGCACGTAGGAAGAAATAGTGTCATGACGCAGGTGGGTTCCGCTGGTAAGGTAGGACAAGCCAGGATAGCATGGCTGGAGGAAATACGTGTAAGTCCCGGAGATTCTGCTAAACTTCATTTGTAAGACCTATGCCTTATAGATGGGATCATAAACCTGAGAAATACTGGCAGACTAGTCCATAGGGGGTAGTTCTTCCCTAACACACACGGGGACATTTTGAATGCTGTTGAGAATCCAAGGTCCATAAGTTGCCAAAACTAGCAAATAAAAATCGAGGGCACTCAATTAAATTGACATTTCAGATAACAGCAACAAAAAAATTAGGGGCCAGCGTTGTGGTGTAGCAAGTAAAGCCACCACTTGTGACACCGGCACCCCATATGGGCACCAGTTCATGTCCCGGCTGCTCCATCCAGCTTCCTGCTAATGGTCTGGGAAAAGCAACAGAAGATGGTCCAAGTTTTTGGGCCCCTGCCACTCATGTGGGAGATCCGAATGACGTCCCAGGCTGCCAGCCATGGCCTGGCTCAGCCCTGGCCCTTGCAGCCACTTGGAGAGTGAACCCACAGATGGAAGATATCTCTCTGTCTATCTCTCTGTCTCTCCCCACCCCCATAAGTCTGACTTCCAAATAAATTTTTAAAAATTCTTTTTAAAACATTAGTATAATTAGGTGCCATTGAATCTTTGAGACAAACCCTACTAAAAATTATTTGTTGTTTGTCTGAAATTCAGGCTTAGCTGAGCATCCTGCATTTTCTGTGGCAGTGCTGAGAATGAAGACGAATGATTTCATTTTTCACACTGTATATTGCATCATTATGTCAGCTGATTAGTTATCCTTCACCAAGGTTGTCGTTTAAGAAAAAATTGTAGGAATCTAATAACAGTTCAATCTCATTAATCCCAGCCTCTCCGATTTAGAATTTTGATTATTTATGCAAGGACCATGCTAAAGTGCACTTTATTCTCATCATGAATGCAGTAAGCCTATTTGTCATTGATAAGAAAAACAAAGCTGAAAGAGAACTATTTATCTCCTTGGGAGACTACAAGTAGTGTAATTACAATGTAATCAGAGGCAATCGTTATTGAGGCTGTGCTTTTCATCTAATAATTACAGATCATTTCTCAACCATTCATTCAAATAAGACAAGACTCTACCAGGCAGAGTCAGGGACAACCACCTCAGTTCCCATGCCCTCTTTGTGTCCCACCTGCCCAGTACGTGGCATGACACAGTGCATGCCTGTCCCACCTGCACAGGCGGTGGACAGTGTGCACCTGCCAGTCTCTCCTGTTCCGTGGTGTTTGTTGTGTTAACCACATAATGCTCACCATTTAGAAGGCGCCCTCTAAATGTTTACTAGTTGAATTAATGAATGCTATCTGCATATGTTAAAATAATCAAGCTGTCTTTGTTTCTACATTTCTCACATCCTTAATTTTAAAAATAATTTGAGCTGGTTCTCTCCCTTGTTCCAAGTTTTAGTATTAAAAGGGAATTTTTGCTAAAGTTAGTTTTCTTGCACAACAGCCATTAAGAGGCTAACACTGAAAATGTGTTTCTCAACTGGCAAGTGTGTTTTCTGAGGAAAGGGGGAGAGGGTTCTGGTAAAATTATACCATGAGCCCCTGCTGTGAGCTGCCCCCCCTCCTAGTGTGGGACCACAGGTCTCAACAGCATCCAGCAGCCAGGGAGATGAGCAGGTTGAGCCTGCAGTCTCCCTTCCCAGCCCCTACTGGCCATGCTCATTTGTGTGTGTGTGTGCATGTGTGCACACTGGCACATGCATGTACAAGCATGTGCCACCTAATGGCCCCATCAACAACAGACCACATATCCTGTCATAGTCCCATAGGAATATAACACAGCCTTGCTGTGCAGGAGGCTAGACCATGTAGGTTTGTGTAGGAACACACACTATGATTTTCACGCAATGACAAAATCACCTAACAACAGTTTTCTCAGAAGGTATCCCTTAGCATTAAGTGATGCATGACTGTACATGTATACACACACACACACACACACATGCACACATACATAAGCTGAAATTGAAACCTAAATATCTTTCAAAGAGATGGAAGGAGATTCTTTTGACTGCATACAAGTATCAGAAATAAAGAAGACATTATTGACTTGCAACAAGTTTACATCTTTGAAACCACATTTGTATTGTTAGAGATCACTATATGCAAGCATCTCAAAGATCCTTAAGAACTGCCAGTGAATTCGGGAACACCCTGAGGAAAATTAAGTGTGAGTGGTTCCAATGCAGAAAGGGAAATGCCAGAATTTCTATCATCCATTTTCTTTTTTTTTTTAAGATTTATTTATTTGAAAGAGTTACAGAGAGAGAGGGAGAGACACAGAGAGAGAGAGCTCCCATCCACTGGTTCATTCCTCAAATGGTCACAACAGCCGGGGTTGGGTCAGGCTTGAAGCCACGAACCAGAAACTTCATCCATGTCTCTCATGGCTGCAGGGGCCCACGCACTTGAGCCATCTTTGGCTGCTTTTCCCAGGCCAGTAGCAGGGAGCTGGATCAGAAGTGGAGCTGCCAGGACTCAAACCCACACTCATATGGGATGCCAGCATTGCAGGCAGCGGCAACCCCTATCCCCAGTCTTGATTGTCATCTAGCTTTGGGCACGGTTAGGGAAAGTGTGTTCCCAGTTTCCACCAGTGCTTCCGTTTCCTCCAGCGGAGAGAGAGTTCATAGGAATCAGGAATCAGAGGTTAACTCTCCTCTCTCTTCCTAATCTTACCCTTATGTCTAAAGTCATCTTCCTAGCGATCTGTGAGAACCAGAGAGGCTTCGCCGAATAGACGCCAGGATTGACACTCAGCTGTGCGTGCGAGCCTCCCTTTTCAGCGCGTTGAGTCCACGGTCCCACTCGCCTTTTTGTTCTCCCTTCTCTCACAGCACCCTGGAAGGGTATTACGTGGACGACGCCCTGCAGGGCCAGGGAGTTTACACATACGAGGACGGAGGCGTTCTGCAGGGCACCTACGTGGATGGAGAGCTGAACGGTCCAGCCCAGGAGTACGACACAGACGGGAGGCTCATCTTCAAGGGGCAATACAAGGACAACATTCGGCATGGAGTATGCTGGATCTATTACCCAGTAAGCCTCGGGACAGTTCAGCTTTGCTACAAAGTGGCACGCTTTGAGACAATACATTGATTCCTGACAGTAAAGAGTAAGATGCATTCTCCCTGTTAGAGCTGGGGACGCTTGAAAGCTAAGAGTCCCCAAAGCTGAGGGCTGAGGCCGGGAACTGATGAGGCTAGCGCTGCTGCTGGCATCCACTGTCCACTTGGATCCCTGGTCCTTGGGTCTACTCTTGATTCTTTTTCAGTATTGTTTCTAGAATGATTTAGTCATGATTGGGACAAATTGGTTTTTTTATACCATGAATAAAGTAAAAAAAAAATGCATTGCTTTTAATTCCCTAGCCTGCAGAAAGAGATGCTAGAATATTTCATTGTTGCTATGAATTTTATTCTGTTTCTTATATGTAAAATTGAATCCTGCAACTTACAATCTTTTTGGCATCATTACAGTGTTGTTGCTTGGTTTTTACAATCCCGCTCAGTACATTTTAAGGTTTATAGAGCTTAAATTGTGGTGATTAAAATGAACTTGCCTCTGAGTGTTTGATAGCACTTTATGATATTTATGGAGTTTATTAGAGCGAAAAGATACGGTAAAACTCATGGGTGGGAACTAATGCACTCATTTTTGTTTGCATTTCAAATATCCCATCTGTTGCTAGTGAATTTCCAGAAAATGTTTCAGAAAAATAGACCTGAGGAAATATTTTATTTAATATTTTATTTCAGCTAGAAGTTAAGTCAAAATATATTTTTTTGCTTATTCTGAAACCTATCTGCTCATGATTTTAAAATGTTCATAAAAAACAAATTATTTGTAATATGGTTTACAAGAATAGCAGCCCTAGCTAAATTTACTCACACATAATTTTTCTTAAATAAATCATACTCTAGGAAAAGAACACTGTAAAACTTTTTCTAAGAATTGGGGAAGCATTTCCATATGGTCTTGGTAGGATCTGGGATGGATCAAAAGTCGTTGGAGTTCCTACCCAGAAGGAACTAGCAAACAGGAGGTCAGGAAGCTGCAGGTTCTCGTGGAAGCCCGAGACTGCACCGTGAACACCTTGCTGCCAGGTGCTGGGGGCAACCGATATGGCAGGGAAAGAGGCAAACTGCAGGTGGCCAGTGAAGTCCTTGGATGAGATCCAAGATACAATAAGATTGGTGAGCAAGTTCACCTCGCTGAACATGCAGCTCCATTTTAGCCACTAGCCTTCTTTAAAAAAAAAAAAATCTTTATTTATTTGAAGTTTATTTGAAAGGCGGGCTGGGGGTGGGGAGTAGGGAGAGAGATCTTCCATCTGTGGTTCACTGGCTTGGCCAGGCTGAAACCAGGAGCTGGCAACTCAGTGAGGGTCTCCCGTGTGGGGGGCAGGGACCCAAGTACTTGAGTCATCACCTGCTGCCTCCCAGGGTGCACATGGGCAGGAAATTAGATCAGAAGTACCGAGTAGGGGCAGCACAGTGGCGCAGCAGGTTAAAGCCCTGGCCTGCAGTGCCAGCATCCCTTATGGGCGCCGGTTTGAGTCCTGGCTGCTTCACTTCCAATCTAACTCTCTGCTGTGGCCTAGGAAAGCAGTAGAAGATGGCCCAAGTCCTTGGGCCCCTGCACCTATGTGGGAGACTGGAAAGAAGCTCCTGGCTCCTGGATTCAGATCAGCTCAGCTTTGGTCATTGCGGCCAACTGGGGAGTGAACCAGTGGATGGAAGACCTTTCTCTCTCTGGCTGTACCTCTCTCTGTAATTCTGTCTTTCAAATAAATAAATCTTTTTAAAAATTTTTTAAAAAGAAGTACAGAGGAGCCAGGTGCACAAGCAGCACTTAACTGCTGCACCAACTGTCCACTCCTGTTGGGCTTCATGCTTCTTTTATTAACTACCAAGAGAGGAGTCTGCTTTCGGAAGGAAGCACTGGGGGGTTGCAAGCTTTCCAGCTTGTTTTGGTTGATAGCACCTGCTTCATGGCTGGTGTCCGTTGGCAGTTTGGGAAGATGACCACACTCCCTACACTCTGGATTCTGAATAGGTTGAGAAACACTAGACACTAGTGTCAGAGAGCAAGTTGCCAGTTTTATTGTGGTAGTGTTAGCTTGAGAGATATGGCGTGGACCCAAAACCAGAATGGGCTGCCATCCCGTGGACCCATGCCAGATGAGCCAGCATCACACAGAGTCCCTAGATAGCTGCGGGTTCCCCCCAGGGGCAGGGGACCTGCCTCAGGCAGGAGGGCAGGAATGGAGTGGCTGTAAGGATAGCCTGCAGGCACTGCTGGTTCCCAGGACCTGCGAGAGTGTGAGCATGAAATGAAATGGACACGTGGCAGCAGGCAGAGCAATGGGTGTCAGATCCTCCTTCTCAGGATGAGGGGTCCAGAGGAACCCAACGAGCAGAGACTGTCCTGCCTCCCCAGTGCTACTGGGCACTGCAGATGTGCATTTTTTTGTTTTTAAAGATTTATTTATTTATTTATTTATTTGACAGTAGAGTTGTAGACAGTGAGAGAGAGAGACAGAGAGAAAGGTTTTCCTTCCATTGGTTCACTCCCCAAATGGCCGCTATGGCGGGCACTGCGCCGATCCGAAGCCAGGAGCCAGGTGCTTCTCCTGGTCTCCTATGTGGGTGCAGAGGCCCAAGCACTTGGGCCATCCTCCACTGCACTCCCGGGCCATAGCAGAGAGCTGGACTGGAAGAGGAGCAACCAGGACTAGAACACGGCGCCCATATGGGATGCCAGCGCCGCAGGCGGAGGATTAACCAAGTGAGCCACGGCACCAGCCCTAATGTGCATGTTTTTGTGATGTGGAGCCAAAGCAGGAACGAAGAAGGGGAAAAAATGACTCTCCCTACAGAATTTATAAGCTCACTCTAAGGATAGCTTACTTCTTTCAAAAAGAAGCTATGATATAAAGTTTTTAATTAAAAATTCATAACTCCTTTTGGAAAGAAAAAGGGTTTCGGCTTTATTTTTCTGGGCAAAGAAGGCACTTCCTCCAAAAGCCGAAGTGTGAAGGAGCAGAGTATGAGGCCCTAGGAAGACAGACTTCTGCTTGAAGTAACTAGTTTGAATTGATGGCTCACTTACATTAATTACAGCGTAAAAGAAGCACACACTTCCAGCTCGCTTCAGCTCAATAAACAACACTAAGAACCTGAAGGCAGATCGTGCAGGGAGCATCATCCTCATTTATGCGGGGTTGCTCACAATTAACTCAGGGAGGAGAAAGCCATAAATATATCCCTGATGCCCTTTCAGTCCGTGAAAAATTCTTCCAAACGTCTTCCTTTCTATAGAAGTGTGGTGATGCGTTTTTCAACATGTATGATCTTTTTCCTTCAAAAAGCAATTAGACTATGGGAAGCTATAGGAATCATGAACTTGATGTTACTTATTCCTGCTCTCTCTCAATTAGCTGCCTTTGAGACCCCTCCAAAGTAATCCTACAGGACTTTGACTAGCTAACTGATCCTAGATCCTTGAGCTTGGGAAATCAATCGAGCTTTTGAGAGGACATCGTGGCATTACTATTGTTAGACCAAACCCACGATGTTTTAGATTTTCAAAGCTATGCTGTAAGGACCTTCTGAATAGGGGTGGGGCTGGAGGGAGGAAACATCGCTGGCATCCCAAATTAAATTATTCAATACCTTTTTTTGGCATCCCAGTTCAATTCAAAAAGTATGGGCCGGCGCTGTGGCTCAACAGGCTAATCCTCTGCCTTGCGGCGCCCACACACCGGGTTCTAGTCCCAGTCGGGGCACCGGATTCTGTCTCAGTTGCTCCTTTTCCAGTCCAGCTCTCTGCTGGGGCCCGGGAGTGCAGTGGAGGATGGCCCAAGTCCTTGGGCCCTGCACCCCATGGGAGACCAGGATAAGTACCTGGCTCCTGGCTTTGGATCAGTGCGGTGCGCCAGCCACAGCAGCCATTTGGGGGGGGTGGGTGAACCAACGGCAAAAGGAAGACCTTTCTCTCTGTCTCTCTCTCTCACTGTCCACTCTGCCTGTCAAAAAAAAAAAAAAAAAGTATGAATGGAGTGCCAAATGTATCCCTGGCACTGACCAGGATGCAGAAGCAACTGATGGCCTCTGCCCTACCGTACTCAGAGCCTTGGGAATGAAACACACAAAAGAGTTAAACTCTGAAGCAAACCTGACCCCTCTCCTGGAAGGGGCAAAAGGGAGCAGTAAAGAGTGGGAAGAAAGAAGTGATGTGGAAGGGAGTCCAGTTTAGTTGCACTTTTTTTTTTTTTTTCAAAACTACCTTTCCTTTGAACTCTATAAAGATTCAGAGAAGCAGTGTCCACAAGTCCTTTTGGCCATCTCTTAGAAAATGCAGACAATGCTATCTTTACTCATGTACACAAAAAACTCTTCAGTTCAAATTGACCTAAAAGATTTCCTTAATAGATTGCAAATCCAAAATAACGTTGCAGAGTGGGAGCAAATGAATACGGGAACTGAGAATAACAGTTACTGTTTCTTGCCAAACAAACCAACTAGAGAGCTTATCCAGGATCACAAAGCACAGCCTGTCTCTTATTCTCCAAATCAGGCGCACATGCCCCTGTGTCTAGAACTTTCTAGCAGTGTGTGTCAGGTTGGGGCCGGGGTTGGGGGCGTTGGTTGAGAAGATATGTTTCATGTGGTTGGATCTGTAGCAAGACTCAACCCACCATCATTTGCTCTCACTTCTCCAAGTTACTTCGGATTTTGCATGTGAAAAGCTCAAGGTTGTCAACAGCTGTAACAGTGGTCACATTAACAGTGGGAGTGCAGAAGAGAATGCTCCTGGGCTCGTGTCTGGAGATGAATACTATACGTAATATTGTCTGGTTTTTGGCTTCTCCCACCAGGATGGAGGCAGCCTTGTGGGAGAAGTAAACGAAGATGGGGAAATGACGGGCGAGAAGATAGCCTACGTGTACCCTGATGAGAGGACCGCACTCTACGGGAAGTTCATTGACGGAGAGATGATAGAAGGAAAACTGGCCACGCTTGTGTCCACTGAAGAAGGCAGACCTCACTTCGAGCTCATGCCTGGAAGTAAGTCCGCGGGGCTCTGATTCCAAAGCAGGCTGCCAGCACTTGACAGACGTTCCGTTTCTTCTCGGGGTAGTTCGCTTTAGTGCTGTCGGAGGGGGGAGTCAGCTTTGGCTGCAGAGCAGGCTCCTCAACAGGCTTCCGGCAGCAAACACAGCCTTGGCCGAACTCGGAACTCCTGGGCAGGTTTGTGTCTGCTCTGAAGGGCCAGTGGCAGTCTGGGGCAGGGCTTCTCAGGGTGGATCACAGCAGTGTCGGAGCTAACGCAGGCGCCTGTGATGCCTTTTAAAGCCTCCCCTGGGAACTGACACTATGTCACTTTTACCCCTTCCCGTGGGTCTGAGCAAGTCCAGTGGCCGACCAAGCCGAACGCTGGTGAGGCAGGACAAGTCCTCCATGCACTTCAGTAGATGTTGAAAAGTCACGCGACAAGGGGCACAGATACATGATTCTAGCAATGGGAAGGAGTAAAGAAAGAACCATAACAATTCAGTCAATTGCAAATGGCTATTTCCCTAAAAGACCTGAACTATGATTTGATGATACTAAAGAATCAAGCCAGATTGGTACAAACTGCAAAGTTGACTCAACCTGAGCTCTACCTGGAAAAAAATAAATGCATGCTCATACCCATGCCCTCCTCGGAGCCCAGGTCTTGCTTGGAGCGCATACTCCACACATGCACGAACCCAGCTGAATCCATAGTGGGGGAAAATCCTGTTTCCTCTTAGGGGCACAACATGCCACAGCGAAACATTTTCCTGAGTCTACAATCACTTAACTGTAGAAAATCAGGAAAATTTTTTAAAAAATGAAAATTTTGCATTCCAAGTGGCACAGCATAAGAAAGCTGTATGACTTGGTCTGAGTCATTGCAAACCATTTATGACCCAGATTAGATTACAAGAAGAAAGAAGTGGAAAAGGTAACAAATCTATCATCTTCTAGGCTTAAGGAATATTTAGCAACTTGGAATCTGAAGGAGAGTCTCCAAAGGAAGAGTGTCCAAAAATGGGAAAGCTAGCATTGTATTTAGGTCCAATTTCAGTTGCTTTAAATGTCTCAGGTTTTTTTCTTTTTTCCAAGTTAGAAATTGAGGCAGTCCAAATGCAATGTGGGTTTCTGGATTGGATCCTGGAACAGAAAAAGGACGTTAGTGGAAAAAGTGGTGAAATCTGAATAAAGTCTGGAGTTTGGTTCATAGTAATGTCTCTGTTGGTTTCTTAATTTTGACAAATGTATCATGGGAATGTACGAACTTAACACTGGGAGAAACAGCAAGGACTCTCTGTACTATCCTTGCAACTTTTCTGTATATTTTAAATTATTCCAAGATGAAAAGTGTATTTTTAAAAAGGAAGCAGTAATCTTTGAACTACAGATTCTAATGCCTGTGCTCTTGACATCTGCTGTGAAAGGAGACAGCGTTACAGTGTTTAGAAACAAGGTGACTTGGGATGGGGAGGAACCCAGCTGGTGATGCCAATTTTAAAACTTCAAAAGTGACAGCCTGTTTGGTGCCAAGAGCCTGAACCTAAGAGTTGCCTAATCAGAGTCCCAGCTCTCTAACATTTACTGTGTTATGGTCTTGAGCAAGTTATTTATTCTTTATTTTATTTATTTGAAAGACAGTTACAGAGAGAAGCAGAGACAGAAAAGTCTTCCATCTACTGGTTCATTCCCCACAACGGCTGGAGCTGCGCCAATCTGAAGCCAGGAGCCAGGAGCCAGGGGCTTCCTCCAGGTCTCCCACGTGGGTGCAGGGGCCCAAGGACTTGTGCCATCTTCTGCTATCCCAAGCCATAGCAGAGAGCTGGATTGGAAGAGGAGCAGCTGGGACTAGAACTGGCGCCCATATGGGATGCCGGCGCTTCAGGCCAAGGCATTAACCCGCTGTGCCACAGTACCGGCCCCTCCAATTACTTTTCTTTAACTCCTGGTTGCAAATAGAAAACACCTTGTTCACTGTCATATAAGACCAAAAAGAAAAAAAAAAAAGGATTTCTTGGCAGGACTCTAGCAGGTCTTGGTAATTTTAAGGAAACTTCACACAACTTGGAATCGAAAGGGTCAGGAGCCTTGCTGCTTTGGGTAACCCTGAAGAAGCATGGTGTAGGCCTAGTTCTGTCCCAGTCCTTCCTCCCACTGATCAGCCAGAGAATGAGGGTCCCACAGGAGTCATGTGGCCATCAGGACTGATGGCTGGGAGAGGAAAGAGACTATGTAAATAGCTCACCTAAAGCACTCCCCACCTCCGCCCCGGCTTCTCCTGCCAGCCCTTTCTCTTGGTGCTTGTGGAGCGGCAAACTGCATCTAGTTCTCTGCTTACGTCAGCAGATTTTCTCACTTAAGCTTCAGGGTGGAATTTCTTCTCACCTCTTCATTCGCCTAGGCAGGAACTCCTTTCACTGGCCCACCCCGCTCCATCTTGAAGGCTGAGCTCCCCTCCAAGACTTGGCGTTGGCCAAGAGAAGGAATGGATCTAGTCAAAAGCCCAGGATAAAGTCCTGGACACAGGAAAGGAGCAGAAGCAAAGGATGTGCCCTGTGCACGTGCCAGGGGGTAGAGTGGGGGTCAGCACACCCTGGAAAGAGGGTACCCATCCACGGCTCCTGTGCGTCCTTGCTTGGTCCCTGACAGCCCTGGGGCACGCAGCCCGGCTCTGATGAGAGTGTTCATCTCAGGAAGTACATGGGGTTCCTAGGAGAATTTCCACATGGTGGAACAGAGAGTCCACACAACAGTTGGGTTGTTAAAAAGGTTTTTAGAAACAAATTCACGGGGCTGGCACTGTGGCATAGCGGGTTAAAGCCATGGCCTGCGGAGCCAGCATCCCATATGGGCACTGGTTTGAGTCCCGGCTGCTCCTCTTCCAATCCAGCTCTCTGCTGTGGTCTGGGAAAGCAGTAGAAGATGGCCCAAGTCCTTGAACCCCTGCACCCACATGGGAAACCCGGAGGGAGCTCCTGGTTCCTGGCTTCCAATCAGCCCAGCTTTGGCCATTGTGGCCATTTGGATAGTGAATCAGTGGATGGAAGACCTTTCTCTTTCTCTCTCTCTCTCTCTCTCTCTACCTCTCTACCTCTCTGTAACTCTGCCTTTCAAATAATAAATAAGTAAATCTTAGAGCACACACATTCACACGAAATTCCATACCTGGACTGTGTGCATGTCTGTCACCAATTTGCTCTTAGAATTGTGCCTCATCTAGTCTCTGCCCTGCCTTTAGTGCAGCGGTGTCTGCCCCCTGCAGGCTTCTGTCTGGATTGGACCACAAAGAGTCCTGTGGTCTCGCACAAAGAGAGGGAAGGGAGTAGCGTGAAGCCCTCATTGTGTCGGGTAGTGCCTTCCACAGTAGCCTTGTCACCTCCTGGTTCCATCTCCCACCAGGAAGGTGCACCGTAGCTCCAACCGCGCCAGCTCTGGAGGCGTGGGCACATGCTTCCTCCTTTGGTCTTTGGCTTAGGTGGCACCTTTGAGTTCCTGCCTGTTTCCGTCCAACTCCTTGGTTCTTCCGTTCCCTGTACAACCCTATCAAATCCTGTCTTTTGAAATGCATGGACTGTTACCTAGTTAGACCCTAGGGTTGTTTTCTAACTTTCAATTTGAAGCATTAATTTGGGTTTGGGTTGTAAAAAAACAAACAAACAAACAAACAAAAAACCCAGAAACAGGAACTGGAGACCCCTGAGGGATTGATTAGTAGAGTTATCAGTGATGCCTTAGCGCTCCCAATGCTTGACTTTGCAGGAGCTAGCCCTCTAATTGCCGATCTCAGCTCCCTCTTTGTTAGCCTTCAGAGCACTGGATGTCTTGGTGGTGCTCGGTGAGGATTCTCTAGGGCTGATTCTTTGAGGAGAGCCAATGGTTATTCTAAGACAGTTGTGTACCTCAGTTTCGGGAATAAATTACTCACTGGCTCCGGCACTACTTTCAGAGGAGTGTGACGACTTCGTTAATGCGTTAGCAAAGGCAGTGCTGCCCTTAGTTCTAGCAAGGCTGAACATCTGTTCTGAGCGCTAGGGACTCCTGCCTGGGCTCAGTTGTTGAATTCTGCAGACCATAAAAAAAAAATTAAATGCATTACCCAATTTGATCTGACCAAAGAGATCTCAAAATTTCATGATAAAGCCTTTTCTTGATTAAAAATGTTAAGTACCCAAGCATCTTTCAAATCAGTTGACTCAAGAAAACCCAAAAGCAAATGGAGATTTTAAGAGATATGGCTGATGGCTATTGGTTAAGACCTAAAAATAAAACCCAAGAGTGACTCTGAAAGCTAGTCGCTTAAGTTGAAGAATTTCATTCTGCTTGGTGTAACCTGAATGACATTTTTCGCTACTTAGCTCTTTTTTCTCTCAGGGATAGAGAAAACGCTTTCACTGCCCCGTGCACTTGGACTGACATTGTTGTTTGTTCTTAGGCTCCGTGTACCACTTCGACAAGTCGACTTCTTCCTGCATCTCCAGCAACGCTCTGCTTCCAGACCCTTATGAATCAGAGAGGTACTTTCCTCCTTGTGGTTTTCACCATTTGTGTGAGGCGAAACCGCCCCAGTCGGGGGAACTAGCCTACCTCTGGGGCTCTCCTGCCCAGACCAAGCTCCTTGCAAATGTGCCTTTTTCCTCTGCAAGTCCTCCAAGTAAATACGCACATAGTCTGAGCAGAGCCGTTTTGCTTCCATGCAGAATCTGTCCCTGTAGCAGGATTTCTCCACCTGTCCAGCACAGCCCAGCCCAGTGGCAGTCCCGGGATGCAAGTCTGGCTGGGAAGAAACATGGGCCTGCCACGTCCTGTCCACGTGCGCCTTTGATGTGGGTTAGGGTGCTTTAATTTTTCCCTCCAGGTCCTTGCTTCCCAGAGACAAGCATTGCAAGTACAGACACGTATAAGATACAAAAAATAGGAGCAAAATGTATTCCAAAGGTGAGAAAGTGAACACACATGTAAGCGTGGGTTACCGCCCATAGAGATAGACCCATCGTGACTGGGTGCTGGGCCAGAGGATTGCCAGAAGGGAGGTGGGGTGGAGGGAGGGGAGACAGAGGACATCTGGCAGCACCTCCAGCCCTGCTCTGTGGAGAGAGAGAGAGAGACAGAGACAGAGACAGAGACAGACCCTGTCAGTTGACGGCCTCTTTTAAGAGGGAGGGGATGGTGCCTCTACAGGCATGAAGCCACTTAGGAATTATATGGCACCTCCTCCCCAAGTTCCACCTGGGAGCTTGATGTCCATATTTTTATGGTATCCTCCCTTTAGGGCCCGGATGAAGCAGATGCAACCCTGGAAAGGGGGCATTTTGTTTCACAAGTTGGAGGATAGTATTACAAATGGGGGCTTGTGACTTCCAGCTCAGCAGACCTAAATGAACTTCCTGCCTACCCTGCGTCACCCTTCTTAGGGCTCCAGGGCTGCAGTTTATGCAGCAGTCCCTCTGTCCCCTGGGGAGCACGTCACACTCGCTAAAGCTGTCCCCTACACATCCAGAGCCCTCCTTATCTTCCATGCCCAGCAGAGGGGTCTGGAACCCAAGATAATTTCTTTATCCACTTAAGAAAGGACAGGAGTGAAACAAAGGAGGTGTGAGACACATAAAGATTCCAGCTTGTAAGGGACACGTTTCCGATTCTGGAAGCTCACTCCCAGAGTGTCCAGCCTGTGCCATTTCCTCTCGTGCCTACGGCACAGCTGAGGTCCCGCTCCCCATGGCTTTTTTCTGCTACCCTGCCGGGGTAGCACTGGGTCTGTTTATAGTAAAGAACTCTCCAAGGTGGGTTTTCTGTCGACTTTGCTCTTTGTAATAAGCATGTATTGCCTCCCATTCCATTTCTATTTCTATTACCATCTCAGAAATAGGGCTCTTCCCTTGTTTCACTAACAAGGCTGACTCTACAATGTCACAATGAATAAGTGGCCTCTTTTCTGGACATGAGACTCTGGCCCAGTTACAGAGGGATGTCTGGTCTCTTTGTTAGCCTCAAACAACACAGTCCATAGTTGCATGTGTCCGTCTTTCCTGTTATCATTGTTGTGATGACGCTGCCTAACGGTATCTTGCTAACCACTGCTGCTTTACAAAAGCAAACATTTTCTTTTATGCTCCTGGTCCTATGGGTTGGCTGGAGTTCAGCCTCTTTTGACTGGGACCAACTAGGCTCAGCTGGATTGGGCTGGACTCCAGGCTTCAAGTCGGGTTCAGGTCTGTTTCACATGTCTTCATTCCAAGATTCCGGCTACAGGAGCCGCTGTCCCCTTGGGCATGTTCTCCTCCTGGAAACAGTGGGAACTCTGGGGGTGGGCGTAGTGGGGCTGGCAGAGACCTGCCTCGCCTCTCAACACCAGACACACAGCATGCAGTGACTTCCGCTGGGCTCCACTGGGGAGCAGGCAGGAAGTCAGAAGGGCAGGGATGCAACCCCCGCCCCACCACCACCACCAAGATTGCATGGTGCAGGGGCAGGATGTCCTAGGATCTCCCAAAAGTTCATGAAGAATTCGTATTGTGAAAAAGCTATGCATGGGGCTCAAAAATGTTTTCCACCAAAATAAACTTATCTTTTAATGCTATTTTTCCACAAATGTTTTGAAGTTCCTTCCTGTACTTCTGTCACAGGGAAAGTAGAGCGCTGGAAGCAATAATTCAGTCTTTCATTTCACAAAATAAGCCTAAGGTCCATGTAACAAAAATTATATGTCCAGTTCCTGCCAGGTGCCGGGACATCTACTGTCTTAATAAATTCAGTTCCATAATCGTGAATGCTGTTTTCTGTTAGAAATCAGTGGTTTTCCTGGACAAGGCCACACACTAAATATTTTGGGTGTTTTAGGCCATCTGATTTCTGTTGTAATTACTCCACTCTGCCTTTGTAGCACTAAAGTAGTTGTATACAATGCTAAACAAAATGATATGGCTGTGTTCTAATAAAACTTTATTTACAAAAAGAAGCAACAGCTGCATTTGACCTTGGGTTATAAATAGCTGAGGCCCATTATATAGCCTTTTATTGGGAAGTATTCGTTTCATTTATCTTTTTTTTTTTTGTCCCTTTTTCCCCACATCCTCACCAGCATCTGTTGTTGGTAGATTTCTGAATGTGAGCCATTCTAACTGGGGTGAGGTGAAACCTCATTGTGGTTTTGATTTGCATTTCCCTGATTGCTAGTGATCTTGAACATTTTTTCATATGTCTGTTGGCCATTTGGATTTCCTCTTGAAAAATGTCTATTGAGTCCTTGGCCCATCTCTTAAGTGGGTTGTTTGTTTTGATGTTGTGGAGTTTCTTGATCTCTTTGTAGATTCTTGTTATTAACCTTTATCTGTAGCATAGTTTGCAAATATTTTTTCCCATTCTGTCAGTTGCCTCTTTACTTTCCTGTGTCTTTTGCAGTACAGAAACTTCTCAATTCGATGCAAATTTTCATTTATCTTAATAACTGTCATTCTTTCATGTCAAAGATTCATCTTGAGGTTTAATTAGAACAGTCTTTCCCTGCTAGCTGGCACTGACAAACTTGAATATAGTTTTAATGAATATTGGAAAGTTCTTTTACTTGTCCAGTAAGACCATGAAAATTGTCAGTAACTAAAAAGATAAAATTCAACCAAGAAAAAAGAGACCCCCTCGTGTCAAGCGCCAGGCAGCTTTATGAATATGCAATAATCTTATTGGCAAATGTTGAACACCACTCTTAAAAGAGACATAACTGCCACTTCTTCCATTCCCAGTGCTAAAACTTTATAATTTTACTTTCCTTCCTTCTTTGTTGGATTATTATAAGCTGAGATTTTGGCTTCGGTAGCCACAACACCCTTTGTTGGTTGATGTAAAAAGTGACTTATCAGACAAGAAAGTCATTATTCAACCCTCTTTTTCTCTGTAGGGTTTATGTTGCAGAATCTCTCATTTCCAGCGCCGGAGAAGGACTGTTTTCGAAAGTGGCAGTGGGCCCCAATACCGCCATGTCTTTTTATAATGGAGTCCGAATTACACACCAAGAGGTGAGAGGGTGGGAGAGGAAGCTGACGAGATTGGCTGAGGGCTTTGTGCCGGATAGCACTCTTTACTTTCATATTCACCAGAAATATTAAGGAACAAATGGGTTGGCATTTCTATAAAATTGATTGGATAGTTTCCTCTTTTATTTTTTTCTTTTTGAGGCTTAATATTTTTTTACAAGTTCCATTGCTGTTTTATAGAAAGTGTGATGATGCCATAAATCAGGCAATAATTGCTTTGTGCTGGACCATACCCAGTGTCCGAAAAGAATCAAGCTCCAGTCGGACTGTGTGATAATTAATCTATGAGCTCGGGCAGGGTGCTGTGTAGGGGAAGCCCCTGCTTCTGATTGTGTGAGTCTATCCACTAGCCTACATCTTGTCAGGAGTAAGGGGTTCTAGTGAAAAAAAAAAAAAAAAGACTAAAATCAGAAAATTAAAGTGACACAAGCCTTGATACTATGTCCAACATATATGTGTTTTGGTTTTGTTTCTTCGCCTCCTAAGAGTCTGCTTAAAGGCAAAGTTCAGCTGGGGAGCCTCACCCTTATCTCACTTGGAGGAGTTTGGGACTTAAGCTTGTGTCTGGCACCCACATTGATGCCCCCGCTTTTGCACCAGCAGGGGAAATGCCCTGAGATAGTCACATTATTCTACATTCAGAGCAATTGCACAGCAAAAGATGGTGCTTTGCTCAAACTGGGCTGTGGCCAGGTAGCTGGGGTCCCTATAGAACAATCCAGAAAGTCCCGGAAGTTCAACCTCTGAAAGTAGTTCTGGGAGTTCTGTGTGCATGCTGGCAATCAGCCACCTCTGCACACTTATTCCCTTTGAATAAATTTGCTTTTGGCTGGGAAAACAAAAAACAAAGTGAGTAACTCTGAGATAATGCTATGTTACAGGATTAGTGTCCCTTACCTGAAATGCCTGGGACCAGAAGTGTTCTGGGTTTCAGAATATTCCCATATACATATGAGGTGTCTTGGGGTAGGGCCCAGGTCCAAACAGCAAATTCATGTATGCTTCATATACACCTTACACACTTGCCTGAAGGTGTTTTATAGAACATCTTCAGTGCACCCACTCTGCAACCTGTCACATGCGGTGAGGTGTGGAATTTTCCATTTGTGGCATTGTGTTAGCACTAAACAGTTTAGCATTTGGGAGCATTTCAGATTTCAGGTTAGGGATGCTTAGCCTGAGTTTATTTATTTAAATATTTTACAGAAAGGAAACAGAAGCTTAAAGAGGTTAAGCAACTTGGCCAAGGTCACAAATCCAGTAACAAACAGTGCAGGCGCTCCCTGTGTGGTATTATAAAGATGAATGAAACTCCCTCCTGGCCCTCATGAAATTTAGATTCTATTGAGGAGATAGGAAAAATTCATTAACTGTCTTGAGCCATTTTGCATTGCTAGCAACAACAACAACAAATAAAAAACCACTGAGGCTCAGTAATTTACAAAGCAAAGAGGCTTATGACTCTGGTGGCTATAGGGGGCTGAACAACGTGGTACCTACATCCTGGTGATAGACTGTGGGCTGCACCACTCATGACAGAGAAATGGAAAGAGAACCAGCCACATACAAAAGGAGTCTCCCTTTAACAACCGTTCTCTCCAGAACTAGCCTGGGCCTGCGTGTCCTCCAAGAGCAAACCACCGCAGGGCCCGTTTAGGCCTTACCTCTTAAAGTTCCCAACACCTCAGCACCGCCACCCTGAACCCTCCGGGGAACCAACACATCCAGACCAAAGCAACAGCCATTAACAGTGTAAGGTGCATGAGACCAAGGGTCCCATCCTGACATGACGTGGCCGGGCTGGAATCGTAAGATCCGTGAGGATTCTGTTCACTCTTGACAACTGCTGGGTTGGACCCTGGTACCTAGAACAACATCTGACACGTGATCATCACTCAGTGAGTGCCCACTGAGTAACTGTCACATACAGATAAAGGCATGGTTGTGATGGAGAGGCAGGAGGGATGGTCCGCCTCCAAGAGTGAGCAGTTCTGTACGAAAATACAGTCCTGTTGGCATCAGGAGGCTGTTGGGCCGGCATGCCCAGGTCCTGGGGGTGCTGGCTGGGAGTACTTTGGAGAGAGAAAGCCTCATGGTTGCCCTGCGGGTGGCGAATCCTGTTGTAGGTAGGAGAGTACACTGGTCCTCATCAGGGACTGTCTGATGGTCACACTGATGGCCCACCTGGGGCACAGATGCAGGACGTCTTGCAGCCCCTTTGTTCCTGGTTCCACCGGATGCTCGCTCTTTGCCTCTTCTTTTGCCTCATTTTCTTTTCCTGCTTTTTCGTTTGCACATTTTTGCTGCCTTCCCCCCACCCCCGCAGGGAGGGGCCTCCTCTATATCCATGGAGATGCTCATAGCTTCTTCAGCCACTCCAACCTGGGGCCTGGGGCGTTCCTGGGCATGGCTGGGCACAGCAGAGATGCTCTCAGCATGCCAGAGGGGCCCTGGAGAGCTGCAGGATGCAGCCTGGTTGATCACAAAGGGAAATTCAGTGTCAGGGCTGGAGGGGGGCAGAATTGTAGCAAGGTCCCTGCTGGTGAGGGACATCACCACAATGACTCCTTGGCCAGGCATTCAGGAAAAGAACAAGTGGCCTTTGTCTACTTTTTAAGATTTTATTTATTTATGTATGTATTTATTTGAAAGGCAGAGTTACAGAGAGGCAGGGGGGAGGGGGTCTTCCATCCATTGGTTCACTCCCCAGTGGCTGCAATGACTGGAGCTGTGTAGATCTGAAGCCAGGAGCCAGGAGCTTCTTTGTGGTCTCCCACATGGGTGCAGAGGCCCACCCAAGGACTTGAACCATCTTTTACTGCTTTCCCAGGCCATAGCAGAGAGCTGGATCAAAAGTGGAACAGCTGGCCGGCGCCGCGGCTCACTAGGCTAATCCTCGGCCTGTGGCGCCGACACACCGGGTTCTAGTCCCGGTCAGGGCGCCGGATTTTGTCCCGGTTGCCCCTCTTCCAGGCCAGCTCTCTGCTGTGGCCAGGGAGTGCAGTGGAGGATGGCCCAAGTGCTTGGGCCCTGCACCCCATGGGAGGCCAGGAGAAGCACCTGGCTCCTGCCATCAGATCAGCGCAGTGCGCCGGCCGCAGTGCGCCGGCCGCAGCGCGCTGGCCGCGGCGGCCATTGGAGGGTGAACCAACGGCAAAGGAAGACCTTTTTCTCTGTCTCTCTCTCTCACTGTCCACTCTGCCTGTCAAAAAAAAAAAAAAAAAAGTGGAACAGCTGGGACTCAAACCGGCACCCATATGGGATGCTGGCACTGCAGGCGGTGGCTTTACCCGTTACGCCATAGCACTGGTCAGCCCCTTGTCTACTTTTAAGTCAGCTTATCTGGTTATACTTTTGTCTGTCTTTATAAGGGACATAAAATGTCAATCCATAGTAAACTGAACTGCCCATATATGTCATTTGCACCATCAGTATGTGGAGAACCGCATTAATTTTTTTAAATTTATTTTATTTATTTATTTGAAAGGCAGAGTTAGAAAAAGAGAGGGAGAAACAGAAAAAGATCTTCCATCCACTGGCTCATTCCCCAAATGGATGCAATTGTCCAGGCTGGGCCAAATGGAAGCCGGGAGCCAAGAACTCTGTCCAGGTCTCCCGTGTAGGTGGCATGGGCTCAAGCAGTTAGGCCATCTTCCACTGCTTTCCCATGTGCAGTAGCAGGGAGCTGGATCAGAAGTGGAGCAGCTAGGATTTGAACCGGAGCCCATGTGGGATGCAGGCACCACAGGCGGAGGCTTTACCTGCTGCTCCACAATGCCAGCCCATATTAAGTTTTTCATGTCTTTGACACTAAGACTATGAAGTTTAAGGACATACGAGTTAGTGTCTCCAATGTTTTTGAGCCCCTGGGAGGAGGGGCCTCTTGGACACTTGCTGTCTTCTTCTCTGCAGGTTGACAGCAGGGACTGGGCCCTTAATGGGAACACCCTCTCCCTCGATGAAGAAACGGTCATTGATGTGCCTGAGCCCTATAACCACGTATCCAAGTACTGTGCCTCCTTGGGACACAAGGCGAATCACTCTTTCACTCCAAACTGCGTCTATGATATGTAAGTATGACGCCAGTGCTAGGGTAGCTCTGGGGCCACAGGGCCCTGAGGGGTGGGGGGTATGGAAAAGATGTCTCCTGCCCCATCAGAACCACCATGAGTGTCCTCCGCCTCATGCCACAGGGTGCTGACTCGAAGCTCAGAACCCAAACAGCCCCATTTTGCAGCCTTGGCAAGCTAAGAAATGCAAAGGGCTTCAAAGGGGAGAAATGCTATGGAAATTCCATACTGAGTGGCTGCTGTCCTTTTGGCTGCCTTCTTTGTCCATCAACTTTCTCATTCTGGAAAATTAAGCATAGTGTTATTGGGAATAATGGTAAAGCTCAAAGTTATTCTGCTCCTGGAGACAATTACAGAACTCTTTCATGATGTGAAAGCAGGGAGGAAAATCAAACCTAAGCCCAGGGCATAAGGTCTCAGTGTTGGAAGAGACTGGTCAAATCCGAGTCCCTATAGTTGGTAACAAAACAGAATGGCACATGCCGCAGTATAGATGAGACCTGAAAACATTACACATGGCAAAAGGATCCAGCTGCAGAGGGGACTTGTTGTGTGACTCCGTTTACAGGAAATGTCCACATAGGACATCTAAAGAGAGTGTAGATTCGTGCTTTCCTAGCACTGGAAGGGGGGCGATGAGAGGTGTCTGTTGATGGGTAGAGGGTTTCACTTTGGGGGGATTAGACTGTTGTAAGATTAGATCATGGGGATGGTGGCACAACTGTTGAATATTTAAGCACCATACTCTTGTCCATTTCACAAAGGTGAATGTATGATGTGTGACTTATGTCTTAAGGTGGTCGTTAAAAATATTAATAATCTGACTCCTACCCTCTGTTGGAGTTTGAGCCTTCTCTTCCATCTGCTCATTGAATCTCTGCTTGGAAACCTCCACAGGTTAGGGGGGATTGTTATTATCTGCAGAGGCAGCTGTCCCAGCAAATGAAACAGATATGAAATTAGCTTTGGCTCAGAGGACTAGCAAGTTCTTTATAGTAAGCCCAAATGACATCCAGCTCTCAACACTGATTGTGTCCCTTTCTCTCCTGTCCCCTGTGTCAACCTGTCTTCTACAAGGTAGCCCTCCAAGTAGTTGAGTAGTTTTCATGTGCTCCCTGGATGTTCTCATTCCAAAGCCAAGCATCTCTGGCTGTTCTCGAAAGCATACAGCTGGGACTTTGTACCATCGCCATCTTTCTCCTTAGCTTGGCCGGAGGATGCCAATAATGCCTGGGAGCTGATGAGCTGTGTGCAACCCTCTCTGTGCAGCTATAGCTTGCGGCCCTCAGTCATCCCACTTGTTAGCATAGGCAAGAGCAGATCGTGTGCACCTCATCTGGAGGAAAATTGCCAGGATTTGGAGGTTCCTCAAGAATGTTGCTTCTCGCGTCTCTGAGATGGCTGAAAAAATCATCTGGCAGCGCCTTGCTCTGCTTGGCAGCCAGTAACGAGCACTGGAGCTGCATCTTCTGTTTAAAGGGCAAAGGACATGTGTCATGTGGAGTGAAACTGACACGGTTACTAACCCCAAGGCGCCCATGGCCAATGTGGATAAGGCCAGAGCATCATTCCAAGCTGTGCTCAGCTTAACAGCAACCTTTTTAAAGCAATAGTAACTAAACAGCATTATTGCTGCTTACGCTGCTCCAGCCAGTTCTGTGATTTCATTGCAAGGACACGATCTTTCTCACCAAAAGAAAAAGACCATGGGACCCAAGAGAAGGTCCCATTATGCAAAATTACATCCCTGTACTCAGGAGGTCTTGATTTTGTTGCTTTCTTTGTTTGCAAGTTCAGTGTGACCAAATATTAGTCATTTGAGATCATGGAAAGACTACATGAACAACAGCCAAATACCAATTCATGACATTCGCTTCTGAAATCATTGGCATTGTTATATGTGCTTTAACCTAAAGCAATACTCTGTAAGCTGTTTTATGAGGCTACTTCAAAATGTTCACAGGATTAAAAGATAAGCTTGTTTTGTTCAAACAATTTTGAAATCTATGTGTAGTTTTTTTCCTAATATACATTTTTTAAATTTTTTTAAAAGATTTATTTTATTTATTTGAAAGACAGGGTTATGAGAGAGGTAGAGACAGAGAGAGAGAGGTCTTCCATCCGCTGGTTCACTCTCCATGTGGCCACAACAGCCAGAGCTGAGCTCATCTGAAGCCAGGAGCTTCCCCCATATCTCCCACATAGGTGCCAGGGAGATTGGGCCGTCTTCTACTGCTTTGCCAGGCACATTAGCAGGGAGCTAGATTGGGAGTGGAGCAGCCGGGACTCAAACTGGCACCCACATGGGATGCCGGCACTGCAGGCTGGAGCTTTAACCTGCTATGCCACAGCACCAGCCCCCAATATACATTTTCTATGCGCTCTTCCAGACCACTTTGTATTCATGAGTTTCAAAATATTTTGCACCAAAATAAACATATCTTCAATTCTATTTTCCATGAACTTTTTGAAGTACCCTCAAAACTGTGGTCTTGTGCAAAATGTCACATGGGACATCCGGGAGCTAATTTCCCAGCTGTGCGTGTGGGTGAGGGGCTGGCAAGGAGCCAAGCCCCTTGGCACAGAGGTTTGACTCTGCGGCTGACCGTGCAGCTCGCATTCACTGAGCACCGCTAGCAGGTGCCCTGCCCACTGTGAGTCCTGCGTTGCCTCATTCACTCCTCCCTACCCCTCCTGAGGCCACTGCCCCATCTTCCCAGATCCCAGGCGAGGAAACACTGGCCTCAGTGCTCTTAGCCATTGCTGCACCTTGGTGCCTTCTTCAAGAACCAGCACTTGAAACCGAGTTCGCTCTTTTCAGCCTGCCCATTATCTACCCTCCGAAAATAATGACAATGAGCAAGAAAATGAAAATATGAGGGAATCCTCAGAGAAGACTTAGGCCCAGAAATTCAACACAGGACTATTTTCAATGTTTTGGAAGGCTACCCAGAGCTCTGTTTCAGGAGTGCTATTTTTTATACTGCACTAGAAATATGGTGTAAATTGTGATGAGATATTTTAATTTAAAGACAAAGAGTTGTAATTTTAATGAGGAATTCCTGAGTCCCTGGGTCAGGCATCTCCTTTGCAATGGAGCACAGCCTGGTCATTCTGTACACTTGCACACTCACACACACACTTGTGTGCTCACACACATGCATGTTCACATACTCATGCATGCGCACACATTCTGACACATGTATGTGTTCACACACTTGCATGCTCACACTCTCACAGATGTCTACACACAGACATGCTCACATATGTGCATGTTCATATACTCATGCAAACATGTTGACACATGCATGCTCACATGCATGTAAGCTTACACACATGCACACTCACACTCATATACATGCTCACACACGTAGTGATGAGCTCTAGCTAAGTCCTCACTTTGTACTGGGCGCCATGTGAAGTGCTTGCCATTTGTGACCCCATCTTTCACCCCGGAGATGCTGTACAGTAAGTATTGCCAGGATCTTGCAGGTGACAACAGTGTGATTCAGATACAAGGCAGGCTGCCCAAGAGCACACAGTTCTCATGTGTAGAACCAGTACTCACCCCACAGCCATCTGACCCCAAGTTAAGTGACTTTCCAGGAAACATGAAACCAAAGTAAGATGGACAGAGCACCCCGTGTGGCACTGAGTAGAGGCTGTTCCTTTGCATACTGTATGGTAAAATGTGTCTGGGAGCCACAGACACACTCCCTGCCGCTCCACGTCAGGGCCCGGAACTGACCTTCTGGTTCAAAAGGTGATTGGAAATGAAAGAGATGTATTTGACCAGATGCATACAAAGCCAAGCTGGTTCCTTTCCATCTCAGCATCTGCGGGTGAGCTCAGTCTATTTTTACCAGCCTCTCCTGTGGGGGGCTGTGCTGGGGACTGGGGCTGGCTGGGAGCCTTTGGCAGCAGCTGACATTGGTCATGGCCTTGACCCCACTTCTGTTTCTGCGAGAGGGTTTGTTACAGGGATGAGACACTGCTCCCTTTGCAGGGTGCTTCCCGGGGAAATGCTAAAAAAGCAGATTGGCAGAGAAGTGCAGACCTGCCTCTTGGAAAGAAATCATCTGCTTTTATGCATCCTCTATGTAGATGGGGGGAAAGATGGGATTTTTTGTTTTGAAGATCCAAAAGCTGGGATTTTAGGAAGAAGCAGGGTTGTTTCAGTCCTAAGACACCAGCAAAGCCTTCACCCCGAGGTACAGCCAGGTAAGCTGATGCTACCAGCCATGTTAGCATCTGCTGCCAGCCAGAAGAGCTGAAATGTTGATGGGATCACTGGCTCTGATTTTCTAATTAAGGAGAGATGTTTGTGGTTGACCCTGGTTGCTGGTTTTACAAAATACAGAGTGCCGTGTGTGCTCAAAAACATAGAGCAGTGCTTTTCAAACTTGAACATGCCAGTGCATCACCTGGGAGTGTGGTTACAATGCAGGCTGCAACCCCGTGGGCCTAGAGTAGGGCTGGGGGGCTCTGCGTCCCACCAGGTCCCGGGGGAGCGGAAGCTAGCTGCCCTGCGGACCGCACTTTGCATCCACACCTGTGGCGGCCAGGGAGGAGCACGTAGGTGATTGCCTTCTGCTCCAGCCTGGCCCCAGGAATGATCATGTGCCTCTTCCTGCTCAGGTTTGTCCACCCCCGCTTTGGGCCCATCAAATGCATCCGCACCCTGCGAGCGGTGGAGGCTGACGAGGAGCTCACGGTCGCCTACGGCTATGACCACAGTCCCCCTGGCAAGAGTGGGCCTGAAGCCCCCGAGTGGTACCAGGTGGAGCTAAAAGCCTTCCAGGCCACCCAGCAAAAGTGAAAGGCCTGGTCCCGGGGGTCCAGAGACCTGGCACAAGAAACTTGGATCTATGCACTACGATTCTCCGACAATGGGACAGCCAGGGACTGCTCGTGCTGCACCATCACATCCTCTCGGGCTGCGTTAGCAGCGATGCTCTCGCACACCAGGTCTGACTGCATTACTCATACCAGATTTAAAATTAGCTAGCCTTGCAGCAACATCCTACTGAGAGGTTTCGTGGAGCACTCGACCTACGACGGCGTGACGTTCGGTGGTGGTTCGGGTCTAAATCTGTCCCAAATTCAGAGATGCCAAATGATCAGACTGAAAACGGGAGATGGGGCTTTTCGGTCATGTGTCATCAGTGGTTTTTTTTTTTTTTTCCCCTCCGGCCAATGCAGATTGCATTCTCACACTTGCATCTGCGCCGTGTGGGAAATAGAGAATGATTACATCTGTATTCTCTAAATGTAGTATAATTTGCCTTCTAACCTTTGATCTGTATCTTGCAATAGACTGGCTTTGTTTTTTTCCTAGTACACAGAAGCCCTCTTTTTGGGTCATTTCAATTCTCAGTCCTGTTCCCTGTCTTAGCTATCCTCCCGGATGGATGATGAGAGAAACCTTCCAAACAGATTTTGTGTCACTGGGAGTGCGTAGGTCTTTCTGGCTCTTTGTTTCATTATTACACCCTAATATAAAGTACTGGCTCATAGAGCCGGGAGTTGTTATTATAGAATTATTATTCTCGCATGTAAACAAAGATATCTTTGCTTTAAGATGTGGGAAGAAATGAATTTACTTTGTTTGCATTAAGTTATGGGAGAGTTGTAATATATACTTTAAGAAAGAAGAGAGGACTATTAGTATTTCTAAGCAGTAACTGTGGCAATTTTGCAATATCTTCAATAGTGTTAGTCATTTTTTTTCTCCTTGGGGACACATTAAATGTACATAACATAGCGCAGTCTGGCTTGTGGCACAGTGCATTGAACTCAAAAGTCAAATAGCAAACTTGAGTTCTAACACAGAATTCAAACAACAAGTTTTAAATCAATACTGTTAAGGCAGACATACTGATCTCTAGGTACAAATCAAACCTTACTCTTGCTCATTGTAATTTCAAAACTGACTTGCTTCAAAGCATTATAAACTGAGAGTTAGCACCTGTGTAGTTGACAGCAGCAGTATCAATAGCCTTTCAGCCATCTTTGCAAGCCATGTGTAATCACAACTGCAGAAATAAGGAGAAAACCCTTGTTTTTTAGTTTAGCACATTAGATTGATAACATAGCTGGGATGGCTCTGAATGAATCCGGAACGCTTGGTTTTCAATAAGCAGTGCACCACATGCCACCGATTTGGAGCTGCGTCTTCTTTAGATGCTGCGATGAGGTCTCAGGAAGGGCTTGCTCTGACCTGCAGCCGTCAGCAGTGGCCATCTGTCGCCCCCAGTCGGTTTGGCCTTGAAAGCAGAAGCCTTCCAAGCTGTAGCCCACAGTGAGCTCCTGCTGATGGGAGAAGTATGGCTGGGAGCAGTGGAGGAATCAGGAGACAGGGAAAAGAGAGTTTGCTAGCTCTTGTCGGTAAGACAGTGCTCTTAGGAAGCCTTTAATAGAAGAGCGTGATCCAGGGCAGCCGGCAACTTGGAGTTCAGGTATCCCAGGGGCGGGGAAAAGGGTTGCGGCCTGCAGGGTTCACCCCTCAAGGCAGTGACCGAGCGGTCCATCTGGTCTTTTCAAGGCCAGGCTTCCTGGACGCCCGGCTGTGTGCTTTGGAGCTAGGTGGTGGGGGATTCGGGGAGATCCAGCTGGATTCCTGTTTGTATGCTTAAGCTGATGGTTCACAGTACAAGAGGGAGTCTTCAGGGCTTCCAGGAAGGGCTCCTGCAAAAGGAACTGCATGGGGTTTTTAGCTCAAAAGGCAGCAGGGTAGGATCGCTTCTATTCTGTAGAAAGAGATTGTTCTGTAATCTGTGGCAGACGGACGGAGTCTCTGGACTTGGATTCTGATAGGTGTTTTTATTTAAAGGTATCCCAAAGTGAGTGACAGGAGGAAGTAGGCCCAGTCAGGGGGGCCTCAGAGCCAGGCCAGGGAGAGAGGTCGGAGAGAGCGGGGTGCAGGTTAGACCTGTGACACAGCCGTCTGTGGTCTCCCATGGTCACGGCCATGCTGGGATATAATTTCTATCCCAGAAGGGTACTCTAGTGATCCCCTTGAAATGCAATTAGAACAAAATTTTTGGATCAAAGGGATTGAAGATGGTTAGGAGTCCCGAAGTAAACTGATCAATTCTTCCAATTACATATTGAGTGAAAACACTCAGCTTACAACCAGGCCATGTGTCTATGACCTCCAGGACACCCACGCTGAGCCTCTCTCTGACTTTCTGCCTGATTCTCCACACTTCCTGCTCGCCTTTTCCCAGCCCCAGCTCTTTCTTCTTCTCTCTCCTCCCACACAAGGAAGCCTAAGTTTCTAGGTGGAACCCCAGCCCAGCCAGACTCCCCCATTCCCAACTCTCCAGGCAGGTTGCTCTCCTCTCTTGTGGTCTGTGTCTCCAGCACTCGCTTGCTCTCTCTCTCTCTCTCTTCCTCTCTCTTCCAGACCCTTCTGTGCGAACCTTCCTCCAGTTGCTCTCTACCCCTGAGTGATGCTGTCACACCTGCTGTCCCCCACCACACCTCCCTTCATGCACACACATTCCGCTTTGCACAGGTGGGAATTGAGGGGCCCTGAGATCCGCTGTGTTGTGCAAGTAGGGAAAGAAGTGGAGAGGGCCAGGGTTTCAGAAGGAGTTGACTGCTGGGGAAAGACCAGTGTAGTCCTTGTTTGAACCAAAGTGTGAGTGGAACAGCCTCAGAATGACGTGCTTTTCACCCACTGTAGCAGGAGCTGTGTCAGGAAGCAGCTGACTCCGCATCCGGGTCACCGCAGGGATGTGCAGGAGCCCACGTGGCGGGGAGTGGAGACGTGAGTCTATGCACTCCTAAACAACAGCATTGTCCTGGAGATTCACTCAGAGCTGTCTCAGTCCAATCCTGCATGACTAGATCTTCCCGTAGCATCTTTTCTAGAACGAACTACTATCTCATGGTAGAGTTAGGACTAGGACATAGCCTGGAGGAGCATGTCCCAGCTGGACATTGAATGGACTCACAAACGCCACAGGAGGACTGAATGTCCGACTCACAGGAAGGATGAGATGCAAAGGCCACAGAGGAGGAGGACTTGGGTTTTGTAGGACCTACTCTTGTTTCAATCCGCTTCACCCCCACAGCCCAACCTGAGCAACCAGGAAGGAAATTTGTTTTCACGACCTCTCTGAACCTGCCTGGGACTGTAGTTAAAGCTATTGGCCCTGGGGTTCTTCATTCTTGAAAATCGATTTCCTTCTCTCCAACAACCCAAAAAGACCAAGAAGACCACACGTCGCCATGCACAGCGTGGAAAAGTGACGATCCAAATCTCCTTCATTGTGAACAGCGAGCTACAGGGTTATCTTGGGGAGACAGTACTGACGCTTTTAGTAACTTTCATGGAATATACAGAAATTTCAATCGCTCATCTCGAAATGCATTTAAAATCTTCCAAGAGGGTAGAGGTACAGTTTTCCATTTTTTGGGTTTAAAACAGTTGCCTCGAGTTTCTGTCTTAAGAGTAGTGATTTAATAGACTCGTGACATCTTTTGTTTTAGAAAAACAAGCAAAACTACGTTGCAAGACTGATAGTTGTAATGTTTATTTGCCACAGATCAAAGGTTCACAAAATCTATTAAAATTGCAACCACTTGAGGTACCTCGATAGTTTTTTGTTTGTTTTTTTCTTTGAACTTTCAGGAATTTGGAGGCTTTTTTACTTTAAAAATACTAAATTTCAATAATTTCCTTTTGCCAAATGTGTGCATACATACTCAAAGCAATGAAACTCTCTCAAGCCATATGACCACAGGGGTGGAAGCCCTTTTCGCAAATTTTAATGTGTTTGTATGTAAATAGATGTTTGTATGAAATATTTTCTTGGTAGAATGACTATATTTAAATGAAGCTGAATTACTCCAGTGCTATTTAAACAGATTACACAAATTTTGGTGAGAATTCTAAGAGTCTATTGAGATACAATGCAGATCAATTTTGACTTTTAGAAATAAAAAGCCTACAAATCACTCCGACCCGAGGCAGCGCCCCCAGGCGGTTGCCCCGAGGTGTGGAGCGAGCTCGTGGGCTTCCCCAGTGCCTCCGCCGCTTCCTGGTGGTAAGTTAGGTGCTAACGGAGGTGTGTTCACCTTTTAGTGACATCCCTGCGGGCCCCCGAGGGGCCCCAGAGTGAGTCAGAGGCATTAGAGACGCTGGTGCAGTTCCCCGGAGCACAATTTCTTTTCAGGGCAGCAGAATCAGAAGCCAGACTCGGCCGTGGGAGCCTTGGAGCTGGGGTTCCCGGCGGCCACCCTCACTGCCTAGCCACACACGTCAGGGAGGCTGCCCTCAGTGGAGCTGGGGCTCAGACCCCAGGGTGGGACTTCGCGGCTTTGCCAGCGCTGGCTGCCTGCCCGAGAGGCGAGGCAGCGGCAGGCGCCTGCGGGGGGCCGGTTTCTCAGCACAGCCCACTCACTCCCTGTCTGGGCTCTGGAAGACTATGCACCTGAGCACCCGACTTCCAACCAGACAGAGAGACGGCCTTGGTCCTGCGCACCCTCGCTTCCTCTGTGACTTCACACACAGCTCTTAGAAGTCGTTTCAGGAGCAAAACCATTCACATCCCTAGGACATACCTCCCGACTCTCCTAACTCTTAGGTTACAGGAAAAAAAAATAAAATAAAATAAAACTCCTTTCAAGGATGTCAACTTGCGTGTTTTTTTTTTTCCCACTTTGGTCCTAGATATAATGAAATGATAAATATTATGACAAATTTTCACTGTGTATACTAGCAATATGAACACACACACCAGTGTATCTTAACATATCGACTGGGTTACATTTTGGGTCACTGTACTTCACCTTGATTCCTGTTTTGGGAAACCACAGGGACCCTGTCATGCCTGCTTACAGGAGAATGTCATGTCTGTGATTCTGAGCTCCCTACTTCAGAAGTTTCTCCTCCTGGGTTTTCTATGTTCTCTTTCTATCTGGAAATGCACTTACAAGGTTGTGAGGTGTGGTTAAAGAGTGGCAGCCAGGGGATGCTTTCAGCATTATTGCAACCCAAAGTTAACCCCACGACAGTTAAGGAGCATTTTTGGCCTTTTGTGGAATTTGAACTAAATCTATGAGCCTTATTCAATATCTATAATTTTATGATTTTTTAAATTATGGGAAATTAATGGAAGATGTTTACATGAATACTGTTTGCCCTTACTGTGTTATGAATGAGTTTTTTGTAGTGTGTCTGGGTGCATGTGCAAGAGAGTAGGAAAAATGTTTCTGAAACAAAACTTGACAAATATTTGTAATGAAAAGTAAATTTAAAGATTGCTATAATTGCGCTATAGAAACAATGCAAGTATTAAACAAAATATACAATCATCTGTCGTTGTCTTCCTTTGGTCATCCAGGGCAGAAAAGCAGTAATAGTTTTCTGGGCATGTGTCCCCTCATACATTTAAATTATTAAGCAAACTTCACATTGCAATAATTTAAAAATATTGGCCATCTACCACATTCAGTGCAGTCTAGTAAGAGTGAGGAGGAGAGAGGACTGTTTGGAGCTTGCTGTATATTTGGCGTGACTCCGCATACAGCCGTCTATCCAGAGCGATTGGCCACCCTAGGTGTCTGATAGAATTCATACACACGTTAAGGGTGTTGCGTGTGAAGGGGATGGTCAGGGACACTCCCTGGGCTTGGAGGAGATAGAGGCAGCTTGTGAGGCACCCTGCGATGAAACTGGGCTCAGGGGCCAGGAGCCTCCCATTTCTGCCCAAATCACCGTCAGTGTTCCCAAAGCCCACTCTGCCACATTCCCAAGGCATAAAAGCCCAAGTCAAAGGGAGGCCAACAATGCTTCCCTGTCACAGGGACCTTCTGCTAAAGGCCCCAAGCTGTTCACTCCTTTATTTAAAAACAAACAAACAAAATATGATTTATTTATTTGAGTTACAGATTACAGAGAGAGAAGAAGTGACAGAAGGATATCTTCCATCCACTGGTTTACTCCCCAAATGTCTACAGAGAAAAAGAGATTTTTCTTTCTGTTTGCAATGGCCAGGGGCTAGACCAGGCCAAAGCCAAGAGCCTGGAACTCCATCCGGGTCTCCCACGTGGGTGCGGGAGTCCAAGCACCTGGGCCATCTTGTTCTGCTTTTCCCGGGCACATTAGCAGGGATCTGGATCAGAAGTGGAGCAACCGGGACTCGCTCGAGCTGGTACCCTCAGGGGATGCCAGCACCACAGGCCGAGTCTTGCCGCACTGTGCTGCACCAGGCCAAGGATTTTGTTTTGCTTATTTTCTTCACAGAGGAAGGAAGTTTAGTGTCTTCAAATAAATTAATGATTTTTAAAATTCAAAAACCAATTTACAGAAATTCCCAGAGTGATTTGTGAAGGGCATTCTTCAAAGACACAATTACCTGGGGTTCCCCAGGCAACTTGAAGTGATTTAGAATATCCGTGTCATCTCCTCAGCCGCTCCAGGGTCCGGGCACTGCTAGCACCGTGCGACAGTGGGAGTTTGGTTTGTCTCCATACTCCTGTGGCCGTGTGCTTGTCACTGCATTCTTGTTGGGAGGGGCGGTGAAGAGGTGATTTCGGTTGTGAGGGACACCGGCCTTTCTGGCAGAATTCCATACTGATCCTCCCAGCACTGCCTCTCCCTTATGAATAGAGCACATTGTTTAGGTTCTTTAATTTTAAAGAGACAATTTTGTTAATTACTTCGTTGAAAAGTAGGAGCGACAGAGAGCAAGGAGAGACTGCTGGTTCACTCCCTTAAATGGCTGCAATGCCCTGGGCTGGGCCAGGCTGAAGCCAGGGGCCTAGAACTCCACCCAGGTCTCTCACGTAGATGCCCAAGTATTCTAGCCTTCTGTGGCTGCTGTCCCAGGCACATTAGCAGGGAGCTGGATTGGAAATGGAGAAGCTAGAACTTGAATTGGTGCCCCAGTATGAGATGTTGGCAAAGCAAGCGGCAGCTGAACCCACTGTGCTACCACATCAGCCCCTGTTTAGTTCTTTTTTAAATTTTATTTATTCATTTTTATTTATTTGAAAGGCAGAGTGACAGAGAGAGAGGGAGAGACAGAGGGAGATCTTGCATCTACTGGTCCACTCCTCAAATGCTTGGAATAGCCAGCGCTGGGCCAGGCCAAACTCAGGAGCCTAGAACCCCATCTGCATCTCTCACAGGGTGGCAGGGCCCA